CTTTTATTATACTATTTTGTGTATATTTGAAAATTTCTACAATTTTTTTTTTCAAAATACCTATTTATCCTTAAAGCCCAGGTCAAATTCCACTTGGTAACTTTCCACTCACTGATGGGCCCCTTTCTAGTCAGATTGTAATGTACAACCTGTCTTCTCAGAGTGGCACAAGTTATTTACTGTAGCTATATATTCATTATATATTTTGTAATTTTTTTGTTTATTTTCAATTGCCTAGTTTATTTTATGACAGAAGGAAAGGAACTAATATTTCTAAGCACCCATTATGAAAAAAGGAACTGAACTATTTGTTTCTCAAATAGACCATATCCTGTATGGCTTCTCTAGCAAAAGGTCAGACTCATATGGGTATCTATTTATTAGACATTATCAAAAATAATGAAGAAGAAAAGTCTCTACAAAAACTGATTAGATAAAAAAGTTGGAGGGGGGTGTGTGCACATTTTGATAGATATAGATATTTATGCTATTGATGCATTTTTAGATGTATATAAGTACATTCTGCAATATATATAAATATGAGCAATAGATAACATTTTGAGGCAGATATATTTTTTAAATATCCTTATTTATGGGTTAGGATTTTTTTTAATTTTTATTATTTCAAAATATCATTTCATAATCACATATAATAGGCATCGGCAATTTTTTAAAAACTTTTTTATATAAAGGGATAGATAATAAATCTTTTCAACCTTGTGGGCTCTGTTACAGCTACTCACTTTTGTCAGTTGTGTGAAAAGCTGCCATAGATGAAGGAGTATGGCTACGTTCCAATAAAACTTTATTTACAAAATCGGACAGGATGTGGATTTGACCCACTGACCATGTTTTGTCAACTCCTGCTACATGAAAAGAATATTATTTACGTATTCTTTGGCTATAACTATATAATCTCATCACTATGGCTAACAGGCCAAAGTACAGAATTTTGTTCTGGTATCCTAGTATCTTAAAACAATAGAAGCCAAAAGTGGGAAGTCAGAGAATATGATGATTAAAATGTTATGCTATGGCCTAACACTAGAAAGTCAAATTCCCATTAAGTAGTACACATTTTGTTTTTACTATGTTTAAATCCAAATTTAATGTGAACAAATAAAGTTCAACTTTCCTTTCTTTCTACCTCTCTCAAGATTTTCTGAAGCAAAGGCCCTAGGAGAAAGCATAAATGAAGCAAGAAGTAAAATTGGTAAGTAGATATTCCATGATCTCCTTCACAAACCATTTTCCCGGTAACAATTCTGTCATATTATGCCTCCAAATAGCCATGAAGCCTGGTTTCGGGGGAGCCCCTGCCAACAGGAAGAGCACTTCCCTTGGTCTAGAAATTGAAGTTTTCATCTCCTACGGGCCTAAACTCTAGTATCCCAAGGAGAAAGCTCTGCTGTCCTCTGGTGTTTTTGACAGTAGCTCAGCTAGTCATAACCACGCGATTACAGAAATACATTTCCTATTTCCTGTGGATGCTTGCACACCTCCCAGGGTGCACCCTTAGTATTGCTGGCATAAGTGTGTGTTTTTCAAAGCCATCAGTCAGCTGAGGGGAGGATGAGAAGTAATAGTGAACAGCCAGGGCAAAGGATGTGCTCAGAGAAGTGTCCCACTCAGGTTAGCATCCCTGGAATGTAATGGAGCAGACTCAGTAAAAGCATGCCTGGTACCTTCTTCAAAGGGGGAGAATGCTTCTTTCATCCTTAGTAGAAAACACAGAAGGGACCCATCTCCTAGTCTCAGGGGCATCTTTACAGAAGGGATGCCTTGAGGCGTCAGCTTTTTGCTAGAAAAGGCAGTTAGCCTGTTCACAGCCGATTGCCTGGGTCCCTGTTGTCCTATCTCCTCCTGACCCCTCAGAGACATGAAAACAGGACAGAAGCCACTGTGACCATCCAGATTATGGAACATCAAAATAGCCTCGGGTTATACCAATTTGAGAAACAGGGGCCCCAGATGGGCTTCTGTGGCCTGAACAAAATCACTGACCGGCCTAGGCTGAGTTACATAGCTCTGTGCTCCGGCCCAGCTGAGAATCTCTGGGCCTCAGAGCTTCTTAACCTAATGTCTAGGATCTCAGAAAGGGGTAAACTGCATCTTTATATCCTACTACATTTTTATTTTGTTGTCTCTAATGAAGGTTAGCATTTTCTTCATAGGCAAACAGACCACACTAGTATTATCAGCACCCGTCACCATGGGAAACTACATTGTCATTTCACATCACGCTGTGGCAGACCTCATAAAATAGATTTTATTCTCATCACTGCTCCAAGATTACAGTAGTTATTAGACTCGCCATTAGGTCTTATTACTTAATGCATTTACATAAAAGCACATAGATATTTCTATACTACAAAAATGTTTTAAAATGTTGGTAACTATTTCAATATAATTGGTGTCTTTTTAAAGGATGTATATTTTACTTCATGCATCTTAAAATCCTCATTCTGTGAGTTGCATCTGAACAGCCTGGAACAAGAAAATGTTTCAGACTTCTTTCTTGGCATAGATTCTCAAGCCCCTTAAAACTGGGTGAACAGGTAGGGGTGTATGCATTTTTCCTGGGATAATATACATAGTTTCTCCACTTCTCAAAGGAGTCAGTGGTCCAAACTAATGAGGAAGTTGATTCTAAACTGACACGCCACCAACGGTGTTAGGACTTCAGACTGGAAAGCAGACATCCTGCTGAGGGACACTCCCAGACAGCAGCACAGTGAAGACCCGCTTGGCCTGTCACTGGATAGGTGGAGGAGACAAGGAAGGGAGGGGACACAGGTCACGTCTGGGACAGAGCTGTTTCTGTTCATCCAACTTCTAGAAATCAAATTATTTCTTTTCCCTGGGGGGATAAGGATGAAAGACCTTTTAGAAACTCTTTCCATTAAAGTAATAGAAACTTTGACTCTTTGAAATGTATCTAACTGTGTAAACCTAAATTCATCTGTTCCAGCAGTAATTGATGGAATCTCCTACATCCGTATGCCATACTCTTTGTATGATGGGTTATTGTCAAAAAAATTAGAACCTTTGGTGATTTTGCCTATGATAATGAATCCATTTGGCGACATCCTCGTGATTGGGGAGGTCAAAAGCTGCAGTCCTGCTGCACTGGCTATACACTGGCCAAGAGTATGGGACTGCTCAGAGAGGACATTTGTTTATCGCTCACACCCAGAATCCACGTATACCAGCAGAAGTCCCAGGCATGGACCCCTTTGTTTATTTTCCTCATAATAGCAAGCAGAGTTCACACTGATACTGAAATTCAGGCTTCTGCTGCTCTCAGCAGGCAGGGAACCTGGACAGTTCAGTGGTGCTGATAAAGCCAATCTCACTCTTCACTTCATGCAGTTAGCAAACTAAGACCTATCTCCTGCCAGCCCTTCTTTCAAGTTGAACATTTGATACTTCATGATCTTTGAGACTCACATTACTGGATAAATCCTCGTGGCTCTTGACCTAACACCCCTCCATCTCAGGACATCAGGTTAATATTGGAGAGATGTAAAGTGGAACCTGTACACATATTTAAATTCTCCAAGGCTACCTTCAAGAAAAATTGTTTCAAGAGATTTTTTTCATCACTAGGTGCATTTTTCCCTAGGGAGGAATTAGATCAAGTGGAGTTTTCCGTTCCCACAGAGTCCTTTCAGTAAGACCAAGAGTCAGGAGGAGGGAGCATGTCATTGATACAGCATGTGTGAGATGGTGACTCAGCTCCTCTCCCAAACTATGCTCCATCCTGCCTCTGGACCCTGGAGCAAAATAAAGGGATGCCAGGTGGTGCACTTGCATTCGGCCTGCCTGAATGAGAGGGAACAAAATCTGCTTTTTCTAAGCTACAAATCATCCACCCACATGTTTAAAGTTCAAGTTGCTGCTGTCTTTTCAGCCAATTGGTGTTATTCTGTGGCCTGGGGGTCTAGAGTCACCTCTTGAATTCCCTTCTCAAAAATCTTCAAATGCATATAAACGCAGTAGTGGCCACATAGTAGCTAATTTGTATGTGGTCAAAGTCAGTCAATGCTTTCACATTATTTCCTGTTCCTATAAGAAACCAACCCAAAGCAAGTATATTAGCTCTTGCCACAAACTCCTGCTTGCCCTCTTCTGTGCATCTTTGGCACAAGTGCAGTTAATCACTTAACTGCTCATTAAAACCTACCTAGAGCTGTGTCACAGGTAAGTGTGGGTTATCTGCATCCAAAAAATCACAGCTATGAAAACCTCATGAAGCACATTTGATTCTGGCATGCATGAGGTCACCATGCATTGGAATCTACTCGGTGCCATTTAGAACATGTTGATATTGGAAATGAGAGAAACAAATTATTTCCAATATCCCTGAGCTGTCTGGATCTTTGTTTCTGTAGGAGCTCTATTTTCGTGGTATCCTCCTGTCTCCTACACCAGAGCTTGAGGCTGCCTTCTGCCCCGTGGGCTGTGTTTTGAACACATTCACACACACCCTGCTTCCATTTGTCGTATCTCTAAAACTGCCTAGACCTTAAGCTGTGGGGAAACATTATTTTAGAGGCGACAGCATAACCCAAGCCATTCTTTTCACTCTTTAGAATTCTGGCATTAGTTTTTCCTCCCTCAGCGGTCTTTCTACATCATCTTTGCAAACAGAGACACTCAGTGGCTATTCTTTGGAGTCAGGCTCACCCGCAGGCCAGTCTAGAGTCTGGCTGTTTTGGAGGCAAGCCAAAGACTGTCATCGCTGACACCTCTTGGCAACTTTTATCCTTCCCCAGGCCCCTCTAGGTCTAAATGAAAACTAAGGTTACAGGACGCTGCATGGAATGGTTCCCCCTAGTGCACCACTCAGCAATCCATTCAAAGATCATAGGAAATAAAAGAGAGGCAACTGCTAGTGAAATGAGAGTCAGGAGAAATTGGAGAAAACCGGCCTGTGTACAGTACAGCATTTCTCCACAGCTTACTGCTGTGAGCTATGATACTTTATTCTTATTTAGCTGGTATTATATGTGGGTGCAAGATGTAACTTGCTAGGAGAAGAATCCTCTGTGAACAAATGAGGCTGTCGCATTATATATTGGCATTATTTCCCTAGTATCCAATTGTATATGTATTAGTTCCTGTTAAAGAAACATGTTATACAAGAACTAACTGATATCAGGTACTGATAAATAGAATTCATTTTTAAAGAGATGAGAAAAATCATTTTTAATTGGATCACACAGAAGAACATTTTGGTTAAAAAGTTAATTTAATAGATGGAGAAGCTTTTGAACAGGACAGAAAGGCATCTTTCTGAGATGACTGAGGACATCTAGAGATGAGAAAGGCAAATGTCTTCTGGTCCCTTTGATAGCAGCTCAGGTGTCATTGAAATGGAAGCACGTTTAAAGACACAGCTATCAGTGTCAGCATACAACTGGAATGACTGATGTCTTCGTAGAATTGATGAAACATCTTGAGTGGAGATCAAACAAAGGAAAAATTTACTATAAGCCAGAGGGCTGTAGACTACATTAAACTGAGAAGAGGTAGCACTAATAATTTTCCTTTGTTGAGAAGGAAGCAATAATTTGGTTAGAACGTCACCAGAAAAGGATACACTTACTGCCTCTCAAGAGTGCCGGCAGGGTCTTCCCTTAGTGAATGAGCCAAAGGCTAGGACCTGGCTTCAGCCGAGTGGACTCCGGAAGGCGGACCCATGCTGGACAAGCGTGTTATAAATCAGAGAGGCAGTTTACTCATTTGCCGTGGCAGGTGCTTTGTAATAAATAGACTAAACCTGTAAAACTATCCCTATCCAGGACATTTCCTCATAGGTATCAAAAGACCTAGGAAACAGAGTAAGTTAGGTGTTAGAAGCTTGTAAAATGGACAACCCCAAGCACAACACGGGTAAAAACCGAAAGGAAGTAGAGTTTTAGATGTGTGATCTTAGGATCATGATGCATCCTCCCAAGGTGTCTACTGTCCACACAAGCAGACATCCCTGCGCTTGTTACAGACTTTGGTCCAGTCCCTAGACAGTACTTGCTCACCATGGTCAACTTCTTCTTTTCTTAAAAAATTCTTACTGCTTTATTTTATAAATTTTTTCAAAACCTTTCCTTTTTCAAATGGCAAATGTTTTATATGCCCTAACTCTCTGAAATAAAAGTTACTCTGATTTCATTATCGATGTTATCATGACTTATAAAGAGTAAATCCAAA